TCTACAAAATATTATTGAGGCACTGAAATAAATATTTATTCAGATAACGTGGAACAGTTATGTTGCTTATTAGTTAAAAGCATATTTAACTTGTGGTCAGTCATAATAACTGTCATATTTCAGGAACGTGGAAATACAACAGTTTTCAAGTCGAATGATATAACTATTAAGTATAAATTGGACAATGAATTCGAGCTTGTTTTTACTGTAAGTTCATTTTATTTTCACTAGTATCGGTTTATTGATATCTTTTGTATTTTCGACAAAAACATATCTAAATTAGGAAGAAAGATAAGATGTTTTCTTTTTTCTCATCCGTTTAAAATATAAAAGATGTAAAAAAATTTGGGAAGAAAAATAGCTTACTTCGTGGGTAGTTCAGAAGAATTAAGAAAAGAGAAAATGAAAATTTCGAGTAGGTTGAGAATAATTTAAATTAAATAATTTCTCTAAGTGATTTAGAGATATAAGAAAAGAGATAAAGTGATGTCAAAAGATGAAGGTGAACATCTTCAAGGGGATAAGTCAAGAAAATGTCATTCTCTTTCATCCTGTTATTTACTTATTTGTTTTTCATTTTTTCATTTTTTGCAAGTGAAGAAAGAATACAACAATACGATGAGGAAATGAAAACTAAAAAATTTGTTTTAGGTCGTTTATCAGAGCGCTATTCAGCTTGCTTATACAGATCAGCTTTTGTCGGATGTTCACAAAAAATTTCGGGACATGTACAAAAATGTTCTTTCTGATAACAAATCACTTTTTTCATCAACTACTCATACATACAGACAATTCAACAATGTTTTTCAGCGGTAAGTCTGCTCTCTCTATTTCCTCTAACAAGTAAAAGTAAATTATTATTGATGAAGGATGCGTTGTTATTGTAATAAATAAGAGGTGATGCTTTGGTTTGAAGATCACGAATGACATATTTTTCAATGAGAAATAGGGTGGGAGGAGAGGGGAAGAATTTTAAGAACAATGTGTGGATATGGTCGTGCAATAGACTATTGTAATCGTAGTGCAAAGTATTAACTGCAAGTGTACGAAAATTCTTTTCTCTATAATCTATAGCACAGCAGTTAAGTTCTTTTTCCCAACGATAAAATTGGAACTGTTGGTTTTAGATTATATCGCGAAGCTCAAATTTTATCGACTAAACAACCTGACAAAGTGATGCGAAAATTTGAGGTTTGTTAATAATTTTGATTCATCCGGCAAACTTTTAGACTTCTGTGGATATATGGTTTTATGATTTCCACATAAGTAATTCGTGGCTTATTTATGCCGTTTACGCTCCGTTTACGCTTAATTTTATAGAAACATTGCATTCTGTTTAGGAGAGCGAGAAGTCTAAAAAGACAATAGCTTCTATAATTGAGCGTCCGAATGACAAGTCGGCCAAGCTGTTGAAGGAGAAAGGCGAGCAGCAGAAACGGCTAAAACAAAAGAATCACGAGAAAGTTGTATTTTCTAAAACAGATGGGTCGAAATTGACGAATGGTTATGATGTCAGGTTGGCTAAAGATATAGTAACATTTTTTCTTGATAAATGAAAATTATAAAAAAAATTGGCGATCGTAAATTGTTTAATTTCATTTAACAAATTGTTATTTAATTTCATTTAACCACTTCTTTGAGTCTCATAAATTTTAAGTGAAATGAAGGAAGAGTCACCTCAGTCAGATATTGTGCCTGATTCGCCTAAAAGTGACACCGAAAAAGAGGAAATGCAGCGTAGACGAACGGAATTCTTCAAGAAAAAGGGAACAAAGAAGTTAGAATTGACTGAAATTTACTAATATTTTATAAAATTTAATTTATCCACTTATAGTCAAGATGTTTTTATGAAATATTGTATGCAGTCATTTTTAAATCATGCTTAATTTATTTGACCCAATTATTATTTAGTTTTTAGTCCATTTATCAGAGACTCTTTATTGTGTAACATTTTGGCACTGTTTAATTTTCAAGGTTCTTTAGAACTGAGTCAGAAAAACAAAATGTTGTCTCGGCTGAGTCAAAAAAAGGTAAACAAGCACGTGTTTGGGATCTTTCTGGAAATGTCAATGCAGATATCGGTTCTTTGGATTACAGCAAGGAAAAAAGTGATAATGCTGTGGATATGACAGAACAAGAAGATAGAAAGTTTGTGGAAGAGCAAGTAATGAATTATAACCAGTGTAAACTTATCTAAAGGAGAGAAAAAAGTTAAAATCGATCACTTCCTCGTTATAATTCTTGCATTTTAAGATGCAGTTTGTTGGTCGTTTTAAAGGAGAGCTACCAGGATTAATGGAGATGCAGAGTGAAGAATTTGACGCTGCTGAAGATAGGTAAACTAATCCAAAATCTTGGAGACAATTAAAACCAGATTTTAATGTAGAAACATTCTCGTAATTCACCTAAAAGTACTGAATATGATTGAAAAACCTTTAGACGATCTATTCAGTGTGCTATCGGATCATTGTGTAATTGCGACATATCAGTATTCTTAGAATATTTAAGATTCTATTATATTTTTATCCTTTGGTTGGAATATATCAGTGTGAGTTTCCACTGATATATTTTAACTAACGAATAAAAATCGATTAATGAGAATGCTTACCTAATTTGCTTGTACTTTTCGCTGGATATATATTTTTCTTATTCTTTTTTTCCTTACACTACTGTTACTGCACTATAAATGACCAGACTGACTCTTCAGAAAGATTTGGACTTATTTCTAGATAGCGATTTCTTTGCATTTACAAATGAAAATCATTTATTGCACTTTTCAGAAATGATGAAATGAATGAGGAAAAAAATCATGCCGGTTGGTTTTCGGTTTTCCATTCACTTGTTGGAAACAAAAAATTGACGGCCGAAGATATTAAACCTGTGCTCGATAAGATGCGAGAAACATTAATTGGTGAGTTATTCAGTGAATACCGTTATAAATAGAACGTTTGTTTCAAGTAGGAATTGTCTTTTGATAAATGTGTTGAAATAGATTTCTAATATTGATAATCAAATGTTAATCTTTTCAAAATTGAAGTGGGAAAAATTGCAGATTTTTTGAAGGATGTATTTGCAGTATTGCATTTAGTGATTAACATTAATCATTATAATGTTTTAAGCAAAAAACGTTGCCGCGGAACCAGCAGAAAAACTTTGCCAGTCAGTAGAAGTGAAACTGGAAGGTAAGGTGGTAGGAACATTCAGTCGTGTTGCAAGCATTGTGAAGGAATCTGTCCGTGAAGCTCTGGTGCAGGTATATTGATACATTTTTTGTGTACATCACAAAATAATGCCCGAAATTGCTCAGATTTCTAATGTATATCTTTGTTAAAATAGCTTAAGTGTAAGCACAATGAGCTCAGTACGAATTTTCACTGTTATATGTACATGTCTTTTATAATTATCTTAATCATCATTAGATATTTATAGCTGCTAACACCCAAACGACGCGTAGATATACTGCGTGATATACTTGAAGCGAAATATGAGAAACGCCCATACGTAATTGTTTTTTGTGGTGTTAATGGTGTGGGAAAGTCAACAAATCTTGCAAAAATCACTTTTTGGTTAAATGAAAATGGTACGTCAATTTCTCAGTTTGAAGTTCATTCTTTTGCTGAGTTCTCATTGAAAGATATTTTAACACTCTATGTTGGTAATTTGTTTTCTGTTATATTTAATTAGTGTAGGAATACATAAAACTATTTCGTTGTGAAATTTGCATCCCAGGGATTTTATAACCAGAAAAATTTTTTTTAACATACAGGACATAAAGTGCTGATTGCGGCAGCTGATACATTTCGAGCAGGAGCCGTGGAACAATTGCGAACTCACACAAAGCATCTTAATGCTCTTCATGCTAATAGTGTTCAGTTGTATGAACAGGGTTATGGGAAAGATCCAGCGGGACTTGCTGCTGCTGCTATTTCTATAGGTTCTTCTTTAATGAACTAATGAAGTAAATTTGATTTAAATTACAATTTCATGAGATTTCCATCAATAAATTGTCAGCTGAGATATCTCAATATATTCAAAAGTGATCACTTCTTTTTTAAACGACAGTTTATTCACTTAATGCTTTATTATGTTTTACGAAACACGTTACCCAGTTAGTATGTCAGTTTATGATGAATTAAATTTTTAAATTCTTATTTTTGAAAATATTTATAGCAGTGGAGCGTGGGACTGACGTAGTACTGGTTGACACAGCCGGACGTATGCAGGACAACGAACCACTCATGCGTTCGCTTGCTAAGGTTTTGTTTTAACTTTTTTTCTAAATCATTTTGTTGATCAAAGGACTTCTGATCGCTATTTGAATGTAATCGAAGGATAAAATCGACATATTTCATTGTAGCTGATTCAAATCAACAAGCCGGATTTAGTACTCTTTGTGGGTGAAGCACTGGTTGGGAATGAAGCTGTCGATCAATTGGTAAAATTCAATCAGGCATTAGCAGACCATGCTGCGTTAGGTGCTGAGAGCCGACTTATCGATGGTATCGTACTAACAAAATTTGACACTATCGATGATAAAGTACGTCCAAATTCATACCCTTCATTAGGAGGCTAATTTACTTTCTCGAAATCATCATACCCCAAAACTTGTCCAGAACAACTAACAACTGCTTTATCGCTTATAGTAATTCGGAGCAACGTCATTTGTACAGAGTCATTTGATCACCTTGCACACTTGCTTTTTTTGGAGGTTATTAAAATTAAAATGTTTATGATGTTTGACTAACTCCATAAAAAATAACATGGGACGAGAAAGGAAATTTTCAGGTTGGCGCTGCAATTTCAATGACATATATTACCGGACAACCGATTGTATTTGTTGGTACCGGACAGACTTATAAGGATTTGAAAAGTCTAAACGCAAATGCTGTTGTCTATTCGCTGCTTAAATAACTTTTCGAAATGAATTATGGGATTTTATTGGATAACATTAAGAAATTTTCCTGATCATAGTTATTTTAGTTCTTTTGGTTTGTAATTTTCTTCATGCATGTACAGCAATGATTTATCCAATGATTTGGATTAATTTCACTTCATAGTTTGACATCCCACAATGTCTATGCTGCAGCATAAAAAAAGCTTTTAATAGATCACTCAATGTAAAAGTTGGTGCATATTTTTAATCGAACAGAAAAGGAATAATGGAATTTAGCGAAAGAGGAAAAAAGGGAGAGGGAAGATAAAACTAAAGAGACATTACTATCGTTTTTTGATAATTCTCCATCTGTGATATTTTTGTTCTTATTTTTTTTGTTAGAGTAATCTTTAAATGAAATAATTTTTTATCCGCTGTTACTGTTATAATATGCTGTTATCATTGATCGCATATTTCTAAACAACTTTTGAAAAGTCAACTACATATCTTGTGCGTCTTTACTTAATTTTCGATCGTATCTCTTGGTATGATATGATTACAGCGCATATTAACTCGAATAATATAATCTTACGTCAAATATAAGATAAATCTTTATCTCATTTAAAAAGGGTCAGAATTTTAGGTGTTAAACCAATTTATGTAATTTATTTCGTTACTTACTGCCGATTAAATGGGTTTCGTTGCGATATTTCCTAAAATTTGTAGAGGTAAGTTCTGACCTCCATTATATTCGGATTGCTTATTGCGATGAGAGTTGTCCAAGATGAATTATGTGCGTATGCGAAAGATAATTATCATTTATAATGTGTAGTTGATGCAAGAACATGTCAAATGATGTTTTAACCGTTTCTATTGGGAATTTAAAAATATGGAGTGAGGGCACTTTGAAGTGCATCTTGGAAGTGCAATATTTGGATAAAGTAGCATAGCTATGTAATAAACCAGTAATTTCTATCTTTCCTCATCAAGTATTTTCAACAATCAATATCTTCCTTAAATTCCAGTCATGTTTAAACTTGGAAGTGAAACAAATGTCTTGATATTCAGGTTCAGACAGGTTTATTTGTACTTCTGAATCGGCTTAAAACGTGTTATCATAGATAGATAAAGTAATGGGTTAGAAAGGGAGAAAATCCGGGAGAGAATACATTGATCTGAATGATATCAATGATATTCAGGCGGAAGAAATGGGGTGACGAAGTTCAGTCTGAAAATTTATCCATCTTGCGCTAACTATGGTAATGTACATCATAATGTTCCATTTGTCCTGAATGAAACTCTTACATAAGTTAGGGAATGATAAGTAACAAAGTGGGCTTTTTATACCGAAGAAAAAATTTTTGTTTTTTCCTTATTCTGACACATTCATGCATGAAAACTCAGCTTATATTTGCTCCTTACAATTACTATTCATGGAATTTCAATCTTATGGTGAAGTTTTAATTAAAAATGATTTTTCATTCATTGTGGTGTTTGGTCTCGTGCAAAATAGTAACAAACCAGACATGTATCACCATATAGTCTATCTTCAAGTAGCTATGTGATATTGTGTAAGCCTCATATCCGGTTAATGTGCTTCTCAACGCTTTTTATTATACAAATAATCCAACAAAGAACTGTGCCATTACAGAGTCGAGAGTGAAGGGTAAATTTCACACCTATGGAATAGAGCTACAATCTGCGACCATTTTCTGCTGCAACTCCTGTCATTCTGCTCTCTGTCCCGTTCGTACGTGTCTAATGAACTTTTCCGTGATCGTACTGTTTGTTTCTTAATCTGTCTATGCCCATTTCTACAAATTATACTTGCTTTTAAATGCTAACCCTAATTTGTGTAGTGTTACATCTCGTACTTATTTGGTTATTCCCTATTCAAATACTTTGCACGTGATAGACTTCTATTCATTCGTCCATTTATTGAAATGTTTCGTTTTAACGAGAAAAAATGGAGTGGAAGTTAGACTGATTAATAGTTATTGCAACGTGATATTTTGTGTCTGTACAACATATGGAATTCGTGAAACATACATTATTGAACAGTTGAAGTCGTTATGAATATTTTTTATTTTTCAGTGTTTGCGAATTGTTTTTATTGAATTATCTTCTTATTACAATGTCGGCCGCGGATTGTTTTTCTCATGAAAGTGGTATGTTATTTTTACAGCTAATATCTGTTATTTTTACAGCTAATATCTGAACTAACTTACCTTTCTTTTGCCACGATATTAGGTTTCACCATTCTGGAAATGTGGTATATCACAATGACATAAAGGTATTCCAAGTGCTTCCTTCCTTGTTATATATTAATTTCTTCTTTTTCCGATATATCGATAGCTTTTTTACAGATGCGAGAGATAAAAATGGATCCTGCAAAGAGTCAGTTGCAAGAAATCAGTAAGCGCTTTAATTTGAGACATAGAAATTAATTGTTAAAATTATCATCGAAAGGCACTTTGTTGAATTTGTATGTGAGCTCTTTCGTATTCTTGCTTTTCACAATGTTGAAAGATTTGTAGTTGCTTATCGCATAAAATTCTGGAAGAATAACCTATAACCGTTTACTGAGTTTTAAACATTCTTGTTAATGGAGCTGAAATGCTTGCAATGTATGCCCATCTGAGCAGATCTCAAAGTCCAATTTTTCTACTGAGAAGAGTAATGATTTTTAACAATAATTTAAATATCAGGATAATTGTGCTAACATCTCGCCTATCTAAAATGTGAACGATATGCACTACGAAATTTTTACTATAGCACAAAGGAATTTCTTTTGCAAGGAATTTTGAGACAAATTTTTGTTTGAGGAAGATTTGAAAAATTATATTTAAATATCGTAAATTTAGAGTTTATTTCAGAAATTTGGACGATGAATCTCAGGAGGATCCATTATACAAAATGAGGGGAGGACTTTTTGGACGAAGTGCTTCATATTTGCAAGTAGGCGAGCTTGTGCTAATTGCAAACAATTAATCTCTGTATTAATTTTAGAATTAATCCATCTCTGGATAGTTAAAAACAAAGCTGTGATATCATAATCGTTTTTTGGTGTGCACACCACCGAATGTTTGCTGGTGAAAGAAATGTTATGTTGATTGATATTGTAAACCTTGCGCAGGAGCATTCGATGTGTATTGGATGTATAATGATTAGAGACACTGAATGATTTGATTAGTAACTGATTTGAGCATTGATTCTGTTATTTAAAAACTAAGCACTTTAAGTAAAATGTCGGTGTTTTAGGGTGAGTCAAAAAGCAGTCAAAAAAATGGAACAAATGAAAAATCATCAGGTGTGCCATTTTCGAAATGTAGCCAAGATGTTTTCATTTTTCATTGCGATAATAATAATATTTATTACAGAAAATAAGAATAAAATAAGTGGGTCGGGTAGTAACAGTTCGTATGAAGAACCGATGGAAGTGGATACCATTAATGCTGAAACGAAGAGCACCACAGGCGAGAATATAGTACGTACTTACTTCAAGTTACTATTAAAGAATTATCTTTTTATTTAATTAAAGCTGTAGTAGTGAAGTATCTCTGTTCAGATTTTTTTGTGTTCATTTTCAGTTTTGTTGTTTTAGGAGATTGATAAAGATAACCTCATCTAGGAAGTAGAGATTGTGATTGGATCGTTGAATCATATTAAAATAATTTTTTATCGTCTAACGAGTTTAACAATTTAAACAACTTATCTTCGAGATTGAATCGGACAGCTCAGTAGCCAGTAAGCTGAAAACGATTGATGCGGATGTCACTGGAGATCAGAAAGATCTTCCATACGTTACAGAACTAAATCAAGAGAAGGGCGCTGATTTCGACAAACGGTATTTTTTCTTCGTGTTTGCGTGCTTTGTATATTTTGCTTCTGTTTTTATTTTATTATGCTTCTCATCAGTCTTTCATATTGACAAATTCAGACAAAGCGATACAATGCAAGCTCAAGTGAATACAGTAACAACTGCCACAACAAACACAGAGGTAGGCAATGAATTTTTTTTAAAAGTTCTTTCTGTAATTACCAAGATCCTATTATTCTGGGGATTTATTACTCTTGACCCCTAGGTTAACTAACCTTATCTCGGTCCATTTTGTTGTTTTATTTGTTTCAATTTTTTTTCGACATTGTATTTAGAAAAATTCCATAAAATTCATTCTATTTATTCTTTATCGGTTATCAAAAGGCATTACATGACACTTCAATAAATAGTATACTCTTTCATCTTAGTGCGTTAGTGAGTCGAAAGGAAGATGTACTGAAGAAAATCATATTGAAATTCCCAGTAAAGAAAAAGACAGTACTTCCGTTGTAACTCAGAGCAATGTCAGTGTGGAATATAATGTAAGTAAAGAAAATTTTATATATTATGATCTTTTTATAGGCTAAAATAAAATAGATACGGTTTTATATCTCAATTTTTTTATTCGCCAGGAAATTGTAATTCAGGAAGGAAAGAATAACAGTTTAATTCCGGAGAAATCAGTGACAGTGGTTTCGGGGACAGATGGTGAATGTTCTAAGGGACCAGAAAATACATTTGATGCTGAAGCAAGTAGTGCCGAGGAAACTGGGAAAAGAAAATCGAGTGGGAAATTCTCAAAAAATGGAAATGGTGAACAAAAGGATATTGGCAATGTACAGGAGGTAGGACTTGCAATGTATGCATACAAAATGCACTTTGAATAGATATGAATGAATTATTAACTCTCATTTCTAGTCTACAACATTTGGCAGTCATTGGGAAATTTTTTTAGTCTCCAACCAGAAAATCCAGACGAAGTTATAAGAGGCATAATTCCTACACTACTGCGCATGGTAACCAAATAAATGCAGAGTCTAAAAAATCACAAGAAGCTGGTGACGATGATTCCACCAACGAAAGACGTAAAAGCTTGCGTGCTCGTAAAGTTGATATTTCTAATGAAGCTGTTCCTATGAAGAGTGAATCGGCAGCAGAGAAACGACGAAAAAGTTTGCGTACACCTAAAAAGCCACTTGCTACGTAAATTCTACTTAAAATTTTTTTAAAAAAAGTGTCGAAATCTTAGAGCAATCGAATGTTATGGTCTAAGAGATGTGGTTAATGACGAAGACCGCATCAATTTTTGCTTTTCCTCTACATTGTAAGATAACGGTTAAAGAGTAACTGTAACTGCTTGATGACTTATTTGGTACTCTAGAAGTAACACAATATATTCTTGTTTCACCAGTATACTAGGCCGAAAACAATGCAACTATGAGATATAAAAAAACGTATTTTGATTGAAAATCAAGTGAATTATCTTGGTTGTAAGATATTTGAAACTTCATAAAAGATGAATGAAATGTTCGGTACTGTACTAGTTATTGTTTTTCTAGTAGAACCGAGCAGCGCAGTTTTTTACTTTTATTTTCATTAATAAAAGGAAAAATATTTTAATAACGACAGTTTTTTGCAGCTCAACCGCTACTATTAGAGTCATACGTCGTGAAAAGAAGACAGAGAAGGTAAAATACTTGCTGAGTACAATCACTGATTAAATATTTTCTTAAAGTTAGAATTGGAGTACGTTTAAAGAACAAGAAGTATTCCATGGATTCATTGTTTCATTTTTCGGCGTAAAAATCTCCTATGTGAAAAAATGACAAAGTGCTAATTATCAGTTTCTAGAGTACACCAGAATCAGAATTAACTAATGAAAAAGATGTGGCATCTGGAAAAGGTGGCAAAAAAAATGGTAAGGACAAAATTTTATAATTTTAAATTTGACTAAGCAAATGTTGCGAAAGGTTGAGATGTTTTTGAAGATTGATTTGAATGGTAATGTAAAATTTTCAGTTTCAAGTATGACTGGATCAAGATCCCCTCAAAAATCTATAAAAAAAGAAACGGGAAAGAAAAAACATGATTGTACAAGTGAGTCGGATAAGGATCCATTTAGTATTGATAACAATTTTGATAATCATCCAGAACCGCTGCGTAATATCCAGGTGAAAACTTTACACTTGTGTTTTTTTTATATATATCCAAAAAAAAAAACGCAGAATCATAATTGCCATTGCATCACTGTTTGTCACTCTGATATGATTACATCACCGTTCGTTTTTAGAGACCATTATTTTGCCTCATTAATAGTTTAATTCTTAGCTTTGGTAGATCAGTATATGTCGTTTTTTATGTGAAGTTCTTGTCTATTCTTTTCTTCGATAATCCGCTTCTGTTATTATAACTTTCTTCAACAAAATATCAAGATGATATTTGTAAGAACCATATATGTACTGTATTGTTGTGGTATTTAGATTTTTAAGTTTGCCAATGGAAATTAAATCAAAATTAATTGCCAACAGTTAAATAAAATGCTCACACTGAAGATTTTCTTCTAATTATCCTATGCTAAAATTTTCAGATGGAACGCCAATCGTTTGGAGGATATAAATTCACGAAATCGCCAGAAAAAGCGCCTACGTTGTTAGTTTATTTGTCGTTTTTAGAAGGAAATGAGATAAATCATATCACAGGGCTAAACAGCACAATTTTCGTTTATAATAAAATCCTTTTAGACGTTATCAGAAAACGGAACAAACAGCTAATGAACGGCGATCCAATCTTGTTGGTCTCTTTCCACAGCATGAGGTATTTTTAGTGCAACATTCATGATTGTGTAATATTTTTATCTTATTTCATTATCTTTTTTATAGAACTTGACTCCGTTTCCAACCAACTAATCTTGGTGATTCAAAAAAGTCGGCACATATTTTTCTATTAAATTATTAATCAACTCGGCATCCTTTCTCTTCTGAAGTACTGTAATTTCGAAATTCGATTAAATCTGTGATCATAATCCATTCACAATGTAAATGAAGGAATAGTTTTCCATGATTACTCACTGTGTTAAGTTCTTTATAATTTTCTACTTTTTTTGCTCTCGTACTTTAGTTAAGTGCTTAATCTTAATCCTTTCATTATTGCGCACAAATCCTCTAATTTGCCTTTGTCATTTTTTTCTCCAATATGTTTTGTTACTTCTGGATTTTCAGTTTCTCATTATTATGAGCATAATATGTCGATATTCTAATTTGTGGATTTCATTTTATTTGATAACTCTATGCATAATGTTTTTCATTTCAGGTTAATACTCATAAATCACTTTCCGAATTAACACTAAGCTCTGGTCGACGAGCTACAATATCTTCTTCATCAAAGAGGTTGTTGTTTTTTGGAATGATGAAAGAACACCTCATTGCTGTTCTTTTTGTACCTTTTGGCTACAATACCATTTTATTGTTACCAAAGCAAGTGTATTAATTATTAACCCTACTACATGCATCAAAACGATTTTTAGCATTGAATTAAGAATTCAAAGGATTTGTATTTACAGAAAGACGAAATCTGTGGGCGGTGAATTTTCAGAACCAGGTGGAAGTTCGAACATGCTAAATAGATCAATACAACAAAGTGATGCCAAAGTAAAATCTTCGAATTACTACAAGATTGCTGGGGAATTCTGTAGAACTCGGAATTAGTATAAAAATGTTGAAAGAAACCTAGAGATTTAGAAGATAATTTGGTGAAAAAGAATATCCCAGTCTGTCATGCTGTTCCTTTTGAAAGAATTATGGAAATGATCAACGTAAATATAAGAAATTAGATCAAAAGTTGAAGTTAAAAGGACGCAGTGACATTTTCAGTTCAGTCCTATCAATAAAGTATTAAACTCACAAGTTGATTGAGTCCAATATGTGTCTATTTAATTACTGTAGAAATCTGCAGAATTTAAAATTGTGCAAGGTCTATTTAATTTTGGCATATTTTAGCAGTGGTCGAAAACTGGAAGCCGATCAGAAGACAAACAAATGAACTCAGCATACGATTTTCCGTTATCATCGAAACAACGGAAACGTAAAATGTCAGTGTTTTTCTATTTGTCATTGATGTTACTCAATATTGAGAATTTTAGTGTACTGCGATAAGTTGCTGCTGTGCAAAGGAGTTAAAAAATTGCATGGATTAATGTAATTTGTATTACCAAATACTGTATGGAAACTGTGTGATGTAGTCAGCAAAAAGTCTGTTGTTTACTCATTGTTTTCGCTACTTCCCAAATTTCCGATGCAGATGTTTTTTGGTAACTGGATAATGTTAGCCAGCAGTGTAGTTCATGGTTTAAAAGTGTCGAGAAAACCATGAAACTGTTGAACCATAGATGGTTGCGTTCTACTTGTAAGCGAGACGAGTGTCAGACAGGTTTTGGGCACTAAAAAATTTCGGTTGTGTTGCAAACAAGAGAGGAGTCTTGAATATTTCATTATATGGAGGTGTAACATCTTGAATCAAACTCGTCATGTTAATATTGGAGTGATTGCAATGATTTTAGTTGATTCGTGGTTTTTTGTTCATTTTCGTCATCTACATTTATATATAAAATACGTAGACCGTATTTTATATGTATTTTATATGTAGATCTAAGCTATTCCATAATTTTAACATAAAAATGTAAAAATCTAAAAGATTTTAAAATAAGAACTAATTTTTTTAGAGCCGAAACATTGCCATCAGTAACGCCAAAAAGACCATCGAAAATGATACTACCGGAGTTTTCGGCATTAGAACAACTTGAAGCAGATCACCGTCCCAATGAGCACGTTACATATAGTGTCGGTGCACGAATATATGCATTGTGGGACCGTTTGTATTATCCTGCTCGAATATCGGCGTCAGTGCTTTTCTTTTTAGATAATGAAAATTTTTTATCTAGCTTTCCATTTTAATTTTTAATTAATTATAGTTGAAATAGTTATTTGTGTATCTGAATGCGAAATATTCCGATTGTATGGTCCAATTGCAGTTATATGTTAAGTACTAACTAAATTGCAGTCTCTATAATTACTAATAGCTTTTCAAGCAAAAATTATAATCTCCGAAATTTCTAACATTTCTAGTGAACCGGATGCAAGTGGGCGCTATGAAGTTGTCTTTGCTGAAGATGGTGCTGTACGTAAACTGGTAGCAACGGGCATTATACCATTGTGTAATCTTGTTGTAGGGCGAAAGGTAATCTATTCAATCTCTATATGCTTTTGATATTTTAAAAGGGTTCCGGGAATAGAGGTTATAATAAATTTTGTTTTATGTCCTTTCTTAAAAATTTAGATAACAATTAGGAACGCATTCTAAGATTGCAAAGTTCAAGAAAGAAGCACGTCGTGCCAGATTAGTATCTAGTATTCTTATTACGAACAAAGATATTGACTTATATTCTGAATATAGTTCAGACAGTGTTTTAATTATCATGGGCTTTTATAGTGTTTGACAAGAAATGTCAAAGATGATGAAGAGATCCTCGAAGAAGTGGAAATTGTCGACGTACCATCGAGTAATGATGCACAGAATTGGATGGAAGCTGTGTTCACAATCAAAGACACTAACAATGAAAATACAAACAAGTAGGTTTCATAGTTAGTTTTTCATTAGATAATCATATAATTGATCAGCTCTTCTATGAATTGGATTTGGATAGGATGTTGCGTAGTGTACGGTGTAGTAGCAATTAGATATTGTCTTGATAAAGTTAGATGTGTTCAGCGACTGTGTTAATAAGAGACAAACACAAACTAATCAAGACTAGATTATCTGAACTGTTGAGGAACTAGTAAGCAACATAGTAATTAGTTTGGAAGAAGAATGTATGTATTGATATAAGTGATGTAATAATTGTTTTACCGTTATTAGCTGAGATTGAAGAATTGCATAAAATGATGATTTTATTGTGACTATTTTTTGAACTGGTCATAAGAGACAAGTCTTCAACAGATATAGCATATAAAGGAGTTGGTTTTTGATTTAAATTTCAACACATTCTTCACTTAAAGATCGTCATGGCAAAAATTAGTGGTGGATAGTAATCAGGCGAAGGCATTACAAGTAACAACGGTTAATACGGTGCGTGATGTCAATGCCGGTATGTTATAACTTTCTATTTAATCGTGGTATTAACCTCTAAAAGGAATTGTCGTCCATCGTCATAAAAATCGTGTAGTAACTTTCGTAGGGCTTTCGATACCACGATGAATGAGTGGATTTTATAAGTTGTAAATGTTCAACATAGATTCTTTTATTGATTTTTTTTGCTAACTTTTCAGGTAAAATTTTTTTCATATAGTCTAATTACATATTTCAAAATATGTAATTCGACTATATAAAAAAGATTTTCTACAGGTCATTCGACAAGATCTTTTAATCGTTTTCAGTCAATTTTTTGGTGTTTTAGAATTTAGAAATATTCAACTTCTTTAGATAATATTGCATCAGCTGAAGGACGGCGTAGCCGAGCCGCTCGGCATAGTGCTGTTTATAGTACCAATGCCACTCCTGTTGCATCAGCAAGAACTCCTCGTCGACATGCTTCTACAAGTATCTTTTAGTGTAGATTTTAATTGAAAATTAATTTCAAATTTGATAGATTTCATACTTTCAAGAGTAACATTCGGCGCATCTGTTGCATGATTTTGCAGCGGAAAAAGAGACTCCAAAGCAGCATGCCGCTTCATCAAAGACATCGTCATCTAAAAATAATGAAACACTTGTTGAACCGGAAGAGTTACAGGAACGACAACACGAGTCTTCAGCTACGAATGGGTCGGCTAAAAAAGGTAACTTTAGAAATGGAATCTGGATACTGTATGGTATCAGGATCTTATTTTAATTTTGTAGACAGTTAAATGTGTAGATTAAAGCAGTAATTTTGAGAAAATGCTTAAATATATATATAGGTAAATTATGTCGTCACTTTGCAATTTCTTAATTATTTAATTTTATTTTTCAAGCATTGGCTAAAATTTTCAATGGCATAACATTTGTGGTAACGTCAGCACTGCGTAAAAACCGTGAAGGAGAACAGGGATTTAGCAAGAAAGAAATACGGTGCATGATCGAAAATGGTGGCGGAAAGGTGATCGATGATGTCATGGTTTGTCAATTGGTATTTTAGTCTTTTGAAATATTGTAAGGAAAAACCGCAATATTGGGTCACGTTTGAATTAATGATATATTTCGTAATATTCAGTATCTTTTAAATCAATTCCAGAAGTTTCAGAAATTACCTCAGGGTAAACCGATATATTTGATCGCCGATACTCACTATCGTACTCATAAATACCTCACAGCATTGGCACGATCAATCCCGTGTGTCAGTAATCAGTGGATCATCGACTGTGCTAAAGAAGTAAAATTTCAAATTTGTCAGATTATCAGTTAAAGTTTTAATGATTTGTCACCCCATGCGCTATTCTCGAATTACAGTTCCTACTTAGCTTCTTTTCAAATTGCAAACTGGTAAATTTTTTAAAGCTGCTCTCTTTTTGGTAGCCAGCTGATAATTTATTTCGTGTAGACATCATTCACTTTGCATTCACTAGCGAATCTTTATTTTGTTACGAAAACTGGAGAGAACTTTATTTTTATTATAATACACTCATGCACTATTTTCTAATATTTTTTAAAAAATGAATTTATTTTTCGTTTTTTTAGAATAAGTTATTGGATCACATGAAGTATATGTTGCCTGCTGGAATATCCCTTCTTACTGGTGATATGAAACCCTGGTAAGGATGTTTTTTCTCAAAAGAAATTTGCTCAAATTTTTTTGTGATGCTTTTATTTTTTATATATTTTAGGCATTCAAACAACGGTACTTTATTATCAGGGAAGCGTGTTTTCATTTTTTCGAATAACGTTTTCTACGACATGCCAAACTTCTCGCAAATTTGGACACCTATTATCAATCACATGGGCGGTGCTGTTGTTCCGGTAATTCCAACAGGTAATTTTGAAATGGTTTTTATTAGTAATCGAAGAAGAGAGAAAAGTCCGTTTCTCCAAAATGTTTCACACCTTATTTTAAAAATATGTTACTGCTTCTAGAAGGGCTGGATATTTTATTGACGGATGCCAGTTGCACTGAGGAAATTTTGAACGTTGGTCGATCGCAGGGAGCTATAATCGTTTCATCAGAATGGATTATCCAGGTGAGTTAATGAGTTGTAGAGTCTTATGAAACATCTAGCAAATATTTACGGAATTCGTAGAATTTATGTTAAAATATATATAATACCTCTAAATTTTTAATATTAGAAATTTAGAATAATGTATCTTTCTTTTCCAGGCAATCATTCACGGAAGTTTGCCAGCACCAGAAGCACATGAACGTTTTCAATACGATTACAGTGATGCCTGCTCTTGAGATGTTCCTGATTATATTATATTCTTCATTTGTGTTGCTGCAGTGAAGGTTTCAAAGTCAATGTTGCATTTTTGGACCTAAAATGGATTTTAAGGGGATTGAAATGTGAAAGAGACAAAGAGGATTTTCACTCGGCAGGTGATCAGTATCCTCTTGCAATTAATGCCTTTTTTGGTTGTTAAAGGAAGTACTTAAAATTTTTCTCATTTCGTTTTAAAGTGAGCTGTTCTTGGTAGCATTGCCACATTTACGCATATTTAGCTATACCTTTTACTGCTATTGTTAATGTGTTTTAAAAAGTTTTATAAAATTGAGATTTAGCAAACGTATGTAATTGTTGTGATTCTTTGTCTTATCCTTTCTTAAATTTTTATTTAACATTTTCAAATTTTAAATTTTATTTTTGGTGTCTCCAAAATCAGAGATAGTTTATGCTAGTTTACATCGTCCTGGAAGGATTATACTTAATACTTATTATTATCGCATAGCGCTGGTTAAAGAGTCGTTTTATATGAAAGCTATTTGTATGCGTTTTTCTAATTCGTAATTCTAAGGTTTCAATGGAAGGTGTTTTTCTAATTTCTTGAATTTTAGCGGAAACATTGTTTTTAATATTGTATTAGTCGTCGTCAATCTTACATTTACTTTACATTGCGTTACTTTTGTGTTTACATCTGTGTTAACACTATATTATGGTGTTTTTGTTATGAAAGAAGGAAAAGTATCATTCTATCGGTACAGATGAAATGTTTGCCTGTTGTCTTTAGACGCTTTTCGGAAGTTCATTCCATCGGTATGAGTAATCTTTTACTTTGTAATCTTCATTTTTCAATCTTCTATTTCAAAGGATATACATTTGTGGGATTTGTTTACAGTGAAATGAAATCGATTTCAGTTTCGCTGCAAAGGCATCTCTTTCAAACTAAAGGTTGTAAAACTAACAGAAAGTGACAGTTATGTGAGAGTACTATTTTCAGGGCTTTTCCACTACACTTTATTTAGAATTAGATGTTCAGTAGTTAACTGTTCTTTCTTACTGACCTCTCTGAGCGTAATATGTCTGTGCATCGTTAACGTTTTTTCTTCAAAGATTTCCGATTCTGTTCTTTTATCTCTTTCGTTCATTGTATTTAGAGATAAAAATGTATTTATTCAGTCAGGTGTTTCTTTTTCGGATTTACCGTTTAATTTTCGATTGGAAGTTCAGGTTTTTGTCGAAATTTTCTTCGCTTTGAAAAGAATGAGAGATTCAATTTACTAAAAGAAAAAATTTATTTCTTTATTTTATTGTCGTCAAAATTATTGTACAGGAAGCAGATGGCACACTGTTGAGCTACTATTTGGACAGATGGTGATATTGATACATTAGGCGAGGAAAGGCTCCTTCAATCACTATGAGTGTTTTAGGGTTTGGCTGTAAAGAATAAAGTAGTGTGAATTCATAAATGTGCGACTATGACATTGGAATTTGGACTCAATAACACGCTTAATAGCCAATCGCGCGATTAGCTAACCATAAGTGCACTTTACTTCATTGAGTTCAGTATTGATTTTTTCGTAGGAGAGTTCTCTATCATTTTCGGTTATTTCTCTATTGTTTCTTCTTTTTGAAAAAAAAAAAATTTTGATGATAATGAAATAAAGAAATTTTTCCCTTTTAGTAAATTACATTCCATCGATACTTTAGTCCTGAATGGACTGAGCGAAATTATTAAATAGTTTATGAAGTAAACATTTTTCTTTTTTTAAGATTCTCATAAATACGAAGGGTGCGGTTACAGAAGTCCCACTAAAGTTTTAGTAGTGGGGTGCTTATATTTTAGACATTTCTACGTGACCATTGACAACATTACTACAACATAGATGATGTGATTTGCTCTTCAGACTGGCAAGAAATGGTGAAAGGAGTTTCAGTATTTTTTTCGATATGTCGTACAAGATTCTCAACAAGTGATTCATTATGCACTATTCCTCCATGAAATTTTATTGTAGTGTATAAATATTCGAAAATTTTTGTTTTTCATAATATTACTAAAAATTGATTTTGCTTGGATTACCTTATGTGCAATGAAAATTCTCATTTTTGGGTGGTTTTATTTTCTATGAAAACTGAAATAGATTCTTTTTGTTTTCCATTGTATGTTTTTTGTTTGCACAGTTGTCTTCATTATTGATGGTACTTTTCTGGAAAAGTAGACGAAGAAATCATTTGTTTCATTTCGACATGAAATAATGATAAGAAGTGAAGTAGTGATAAAGAAGAATATTTCTGGTGCGTATTTAATATTGTTTTCAATATTTTTGTTATTGTTAAACTTTGTATAACTTGGTTAATTACATTTTACCATTTTCCGCGGATAATCTTCTGAAGTTATCAGTAACTTACTTTCATCCAACAATTTATATCTAATTCAGTGGTTATTTGTCTTAAGGATATATGCTTCCCGTTCGTTTTTTTTGTTTGGAAAATATTTTCAATCAATTCAGCATAGTATGATAAAAATTTGTTCATTGTGCTTTCTTCTTTGTTAAAATATAATCGGATTTCCCATACTATATTTCTCGATGTGAGAATAAATAGGTATCCAAGGTTATCCGACTACATGGAACTTCTACAGTTGTTCCGATTTTTTGTATTTTTAATTCTTCGTTCTTTTTCAATTTCGATTTTCGATTAATCGGTTAGTGCTTAATTCTTCATTCTCTTGGTTTATGCATTTTATTCGCGTTTCTTCATAGTTATATTGGGAGTGGTAAATAGGGAACAAAGGGAAGGTGATGAAAGAGATGGAAATTCTATTTGCAAATTTACTACGAATTACTTGGATTGAAGATTGTATTTAAAATTTGCTTTAGTTTGACAAAAATCCGTTAAATTGAAGCAAATCTTATTGGGTAGATACAATCTTCACCGAAGTGATTCTTGCAAATTTGCAAGTGTCTTTGCAGACACTGATAAAAATATGTTTAAATAAGAGAGTCGAAGTTGTACTTTCAGACTGTTTTATGTTGATTCTTAACTTTTCTGGTTATCAGCCAACAATGCTGCGGATTATAGTGGGGTGTTGATTGCAACTCACATATCATGGCACAGATATTGCAAAATATGCTCCCCGTGCAATCTGAGACGCTCTTCTAATGAACGGGTGGATTACGTGAGAATGGGTTAATAGCTGAATACTTTGCATACTGGTTAATAGTTCCAGAGAAGATATAAACAGTTGTATCTATCAGAAGTCGCGACATATTGTTCAGTGGACATTAATAAATTTCTTACTGCTGCTGTAGATAAATCATGAAGGGCTCCAAGTCATCATTTCGAATTGGGATTTATCTTTTTCTTGATTAATTTTCAAAATAGCTTCTGTTGCTGAATTTATTCCTGTTATCCTTTATATTGGACTATTTCGAAGCTAGCTTCGAAAAAAAGGATATGCTTGGATGGTTGGTATTGAGAATTAATTGCTGCTATTTTATTGCGTTAATCTAATGAAATAATTTGAAGATTTTAGGACGACAATGCGACAGTACAGTGTTGGATATTAGCAAGAACAGGCGGTCATGGACAGGGTAAATTCACAGAGAATTTCAAGTGGTATGTATTGTATGAGGAGAAAAATATCTCTAAGCAGACAGAAACTAACAACGAGTATGTGGTTAAAATGGGTTTGCTGTGTGGAAAGTGTCCATCTGCAACTGAATATATGAAGGTATAGCAAGGTGAAATTTACGCTAAAAGAGACAATAAAAGGGAATGAATGACATGAAGATCAAATGAACTAAGAACTGAGGATATGGGATCGAGAAATCGATCATTAATAACTGGTAGATCGATGATGATAGAATGATATGAAACAAGTGGTATGAAGGATTCGTTAAAAATTCAATGAATGTGCAACGTAATTCAGCAAATATGAATATGGATGAAGAATTTGAAAAGGAATATCAAATCAGTAATTCATGAAATAATAAGAACAAGGGATTTGTCGAGTGGAAGCTGTCAAGCATGAAAGGAATTAAGAAAACTAATCAGATTTGAAGCTGATATTTTATGGAAGGAATTTGAATATATCAAATTGGATGAGATTCGATGGATTGCAGGCGATAAAAAATAAAAGAGACAATAAATATGTAACAATTATAATCACAACGAAAGAATGATACAAAATCTTTCAATTAAATATATGAAAGAAATATATATGTATACATAAAATGGAAGAGAAATTTGTACACTCCAATTTAAATATGGCTTATGCTTGGAAAAGGGAAAATTCGAGAAAAGCTGGTATTGAAATGTCAAATGGTCGCAACAAACAAAAAAGGAAAGAAAGAAGCATTCTCAATTATGTGAACATATCAATTACGATAATGAAATTGGGATGATATTTGGCGCAAAAAGTGTTTTTGTTTGTCATTAATGGTTTTTGGTAGGATTCAAATTGCTAAATATAAAAGTGAGTGGAGCATGCTTTGAAATTGAAGATATAGAACGGAAATTTTGGCTTTGCAAGAATTATCATTGGATTGAATAATGACGAAGTTATCAAATATCAAACATCCTGAAATTGATTAAATTCATAAAACTCATATATCATAATAAAACAGACAAGTGCTAACTTAATTAATTGAATCTGGCTGCATTCGATTGGCAATTTGACATATGTGCAGAGGAAGTTTTCTGCTTGTGAAGAATTGAAATAAAGAGAAATACCACAACGATTATGTATCTGTAATGATGGATCTTTAACAAAAAAAGAGAATATCTGATGTCGAGGAATTATTTCAAACAGGAAAGAAATTGACGAAATCTTGTGAAAAATGATTGGCATTTATTAGCTAATAAAATAGGAATGAAAAATTATAATGTATAAAAAACAGTACGGCACAAAAGTATTGAATTCTTTCTTTTATTTTCACTGATACATACAAATGTTTTAACAATTTACAATTTTTAATCTTGAAAAATGTAACGAAATCGAAATTCATCTCATTGCTTTCAT